AACTTTCTCTATCAACCTGTGATCATAAACTTGCCACGCTTCACACTAATCACAGATTCAACGTCTCTCTTTGGGATTTTCTGGAATATATTTGCTAAATTTTTCTTTTCTTTTAAATTTGTGGATTACAACAATGAAGGCTTGAAGCTTGTGAATATAAGTGGTGAAGAAAGAGGAGAGATCAAAAATTACATGACATATAATGTTTACTCATTTACTTTGTTTTATTCAAACGAGGTTCACTGAGGAAAGAAAAGAGAGAGAAAATTGTTAAAACTTCCATAGCTCCATATGCAAAAAAATCTCCTTCAAGCCTGACCGGTATTACCGTTGGCTTCAGCTAACATCAATTCTAGATCTCCTTTCCTGTTCAGCTTCACTGTATCTGTAGTACAACAACAACAGAGAATTGAAGTGAAAAAACGATCCAAAGTTGGACAAACCATGGCTGATTGTGTAAAATCTGGAGAGACTGTTCTCCTTTGACTGTGTAAAATCTATGAATAAACCCGAAGAAGGCAGGAGAGAAAGAGAAAGTACCTGTGCAGCCACCAATGTGCTTCCCTCCTGGTCATTATAAGGACAGAGATTAGACACTGTTTATGCGTTGTCATTAAACCAAACCTATGTTTTTCACTTCTTCGAGGCATCTAAAACTAAAGATTTCATAGTTTGAAGCAAAATAAGGAAAAGAAAGTGTGTATTCTCCTCATGCTTTATATGCAAAGCATTCAATGAAGATATAATCGATAGAAAGGGATTAAACTGCTAACCAACGAAAACATTAGGAACTGTGTGTTGACCGGTAAGTCTTCCGAGCACCTTCTGCAGTTGTGGCCCTTGTGGACCTGAAATGTTTCACAATACCGATGAAACCATGAGTCTAACCGAATTGAAATAGAACATAACAGATCTTTCTTGTACAAAGTCACCAAATATTTTGACAATTGCAGCTTTAACTGTTTACAAAGAGATACACATTTACTAAAATAATAAGTAACAGACAAGAATCTCCAAAATGTAAACTTTTATCCCCCTAAATTCTTAGCCAGCAAACCAACATAAGACCATAAGTTTCAAAACCAAAGTCGAGAACAAGACAACGATATGAACTAATTCGGGGAAGACTAAAACCAACTAAAAGATAAACGAGGCTTTAATTCTTTCAAGGAGTCTAAATGCCACAACCCAAACTGGATTAGTATTGTGCATATGAACCCAAAATCCAGAGGTGAAACGCAATACTAATGGATACAAACAAGCATCCTTTCAGATACTCTATCTAGAGCCATAACAGAAAACGATAAGTTAAATATTATCATAATCAGATCAATTGAATCAAAAGCTAAGGATGAGTGACCAATGTAGGTAAAAAGAAAAAATGTTAAGCAAATGTAAACATACCAAGTTCATCTAATTCAATCACTAGTGGCTGAACTCCAAGTCTCTTGAACAATGTCTTCACTTCAGTACAGTATCTTCAACACACACCAAACACAAACAAAAACCATCAGCAAATATATATATGTTCAAAAGTTAAGCAAAAGAGTCATAAATCTGAATAAGAACAGCAAAACCCATTTAAAAAAAAAGAGATAAACTTTACAAGGATATTGAACAGACCCATTCTCCAGTTAAGC